AAATCCTCACTTTCGATCTTGCTTAGAGAGAGGAAGTGGGGGGAAGAGAAAGAGGAGAGAGAGAAAGAAACATCGATGTGAAAGAGAAACATCAATTGGTTGCCTTCCGTACATGCCCAGACCAGATCAAACCCAGGTATGTGCCCTGACTGGGAATTGAAATAGCAACCTTTTGGTGCACAGGATGATGCTCAACCAACTGAGCCACACCAGCCAGGCTGTCTGTTGTCTTTTTAATCTACAACTTCTCTATCAGTTTTTCTGACCTATGGGTAGAAAGAGTACACTGAGGTAGTGTCATTTTGATAGCAAGTATTTTTATAGAAGACCTAAGCTCGATGTGTGTGAGTAGCATTTCAGATAGAGTTCTAGACAGCTCTTTCTCCCAAGTCTGATTTAAAGCTACCTGGACTTTCCCTGCATTCTACTGTGTGTGGAGGAGGACTTAGAATAGAAAATATGGGTTTTAAAAAAAATCAATCCTCAAGAATACTTTAAAAAAAAAAAATCTTTATTGATTCAGAGAGAGGAAAGGAGAGGGAGAGAGAGAGAAACATAAATGATGAGAGAGTCATTGATCCGCTGCCTCCTGCATGCCCCCGACTGGGGATTGATACCCCAACCGAGAATGTTCCCTGAGCGGGAATCGAACCACAATCTCCTGGATCCTAGGTCAATGCTCAACCGCTGAGCCACGCCTCTCCGGGCTCCTCTAACTCTTGAGGTGCCCTTCAAGCTTGTTTGGGAACCCTCACTTGATTCATGTATAGTACACAAATTTTCTCCTTCATCATTTTAAGAATTGTTTTTTTCATATCTTGAAAATCTTAAATCAGAATTGAGAACCTTATGAAATGAAGTCCTTGATGGATTAAAGTCTTAAGTGGAGCCTTAGAAGAAGGAATGGAAGTACTCAGAGCCCAAGAATACAGTTTTTGTAAAATTTGTAATTGAAGCTGAGGCATCTGCCATGTCTATGACTTAGTGGCCATCTCACTTCGAGTGTCCAACTTAAAATTTCCTATTCCAATAACTTTTATAAGATGATTTATCTTACCTTTCACAAATCAGCATTTTGGGAGCAATTGTCTTAACAAATGAAGGAGAATGATATGTTATCTAGAAAGAAGAAAGGAGAAAGAAATAACACATGTACTGTGAGTTTTTATACCTTTGCATAGAAGGCTAGCTGGAAGCAGAAATTTGAGTCTCCCTTCCATAATTGTTATTGGGAAGTAGCTGATCTGCCAAGGACTGTAGTCCCACTTTATTTACATTCAAGTGTATGGTCATGTGACTAGTTTTTGCCAATGGAATGTGAGTGAAGTATTCTCTGGTTAAGAGGCAGCTGCACCTTCTCCAGTCTCTTTTTGTGGCAGTTTGTGAAGTCAAGTGTGGAAGGTGACAGTCACGAGATGAAAAGAGCCTGTGTTCTCAAATTACTACCCCACTGAATATTTGCACTGGGATTGTATACAGGGAAACTTTTGTTGTATTAAACCGTGATATTAACACAGTTTGGACTTTATCTGTTAAAGGAGCTTGCATTGCTCTAACACACACACATCTTAATTTAATATTAATCTACCTTATGAAATAGATATTTTTCCTTTTATAGATGAGGAAGATGTGTTTGAGAAGTAACTTCCCTTTAGGCCAGAGCAGATCTGACTGAAAAACTAATGAGTTCTCCATGATAACATGTTGAGTCTTTGAGAAAGGAAATTAGTTGAGATAGAATAAATCCCAACCTTTCAGATTATAAATTTTAGTTTACACCAGTAGTTTTTTCTGTGGAAGTGACAAGGTATTGGTAAGATAAGAAGACTCTTTAAAAAAATTTTTTTTTTACTTTTAAAATTTTAAAAATTTATCTTTATTGTTGAAAGTATTACAGGTGTCCCATTCCCCCCCCCCCAATTGACCCCCTCCACCTCGCTCCCTCCCCCTCCCCAGGCCTTCACCCCATTATTG